CACAACCACTGCTCTCCATTTAGCTCTTTTGTTTAGCTCTAAAAGTTAAGATAAGGAAAAGATGACCTAGATTGACTTTAAAAGTGAAACAGAAGATATATATTTGAAACTCACTTTCAGTATAACAATAACAACTTTTTAAAATTTTGATGTTTCCCTGCACAGTTAACTGCTCTGCTTTTCTGATAAAGCTGATAAAGCATGTGCTTGTGGTGAGGCAGTTCTTATGATTTAAGATGAAGTAACCATCTGATACCTGTAGAGGTGAATTAGGATCCTGTTTAATTTTCTATGTAGGCTAATCTTGTGATTCATTTTTTCAGCTAATATTGACTATTTGGAGAAGCAAATATGCTGGGAAGTAAAGCTGAATAAGGCACAATTCATACCATTAAGGAGCTCACAATTTTAAAGGACAGATACATAATGAGATAATTTCAATATAATGTGATAAATGCTGGGGTGGAATTCAAGGTACAGTGTGGGAGCATACAGGAAAATTGTGTCTGTACTTGCCTGAAAAGTCATAGAATGCTTCGTAGAGGAGGTAGCATTTAAAATGAATGATGGAAGGATGAACAAGGGATGATACCAGACAAAACATGCAGAGGTTTCTGGAAGAATGTAGCACATGACCTGGGCCATGAAAAAAAAGTATGATGGAATAAAAGTATAAAAGGGACTCTATGAAGGAGGAAATTGCATGGGCAAAGGCATAGAGTCACATGGTTTTAAAAAAAATACATGGTTGGTTTTGATGATAACAAATAATGTCAATGTATTGAAAGATGTGGATGATAAAGCTAATATAGCTAATCAGAGCAGATTCTGAGCTTTCCAGAGTAGTTAATTAGGAGAACATACCATTACATTTCCATTCTCACAATGTACAGCTAGTTATCAGTTAAGAGGGAAATTTGATAAACCAATCTAAACTACAATGTACTTGACTCACTTATTGCTCTCAGGGACATTTAAATTTTATAGCAGGATGCCCAAAGGGAACAAGACAATAGAAAGCAGAATTTATGGTATAGGCAAGTAGATTAGATTTAAACTGAGGAGTATCTAGAAAGTTTTCCTGCCCTTAAAATGTCATACCATCATGGACTCTGTCTGCCATGTCAACTCACTGCCCTAGCAGATTTTAAATTCTTCCTGCTGTATTCTGTTTAAAAGAGACAAAAAAGAACGTAGTTTTAAAGAATATAAAATAATCATTCCCTTTGATTAAAATTCCAAATACCCAGAAGAGATAAAAAGAAATAGTGTGGTTTAGAAAAATACTTGGTTAAAAAAAAAGGGAATTAAAGCAGCTGTTCTTTACCTGTCAAAGTAAAGAATAATACATAAAAGAAAAAAATCCATCTGTTTTGAGTCATGAAATCATCCTCCAGGCTCCACAGAGTGCTTATATCCAAGTGGGAGAGAAAGTGACTATCACTGTGAAACTCAAGTCTAAAGAACAAAATCTTTTTCTTGAGGCCTCCTGGTGGGATAGATCTTCCTCTTTCATCAGTCTAGGTTACTAAGCTACAGATACGTGTAACGGTTAAATTGCAGTACCTCAATTGGAATATTTAAGGCCTGTTGGTTGCTCATGTCCTTAGACATGAAGAACAGGAACAGGTGTTTTTGTGTTTTTTTAAAGAAAGTAAATTGAAAGTGAGTTCAACGTAGAAAAATGAAGCAAGTAAAGGGATTTAGACATTTTAAAATAGTTATGTAACTATATAGAGAATATAAAGTTTGAATGTGCCTGTGTTTCCATGTCAAATAAACTCTAAATTGTCTTAAAACCAACACAGGTTTCTATTTATTGATTATTAATATTAACACACATATATATTTGTTGTTATTGCAACAAACATTTGTAAAGAAACGATTGGATCTTGAACACTGTGTTAAGTAAGACGAAAGGGTCCTTTGCTTAATCTAATTATGGAAGCAAATCATATACTTGAGGACATTAAAATAAGTGTGGAAATCATTTGATACAGAAGTCCATATTTGCACTGTAGGTGTTTCAAGTAAGGGAATGATTGCTGAGAGATGGGGTTAGACTGGGCAGCCTTTATGGAGATGAGTCTTGAACCTAGAGATTTGAAAGAATGAAATTTTGAGGTTTTGAATGGTGGAGAGAGAGGGAGGAAAGCATTTGGAATAGGAATGAGTGAAGATATGGAGGCAGGAATGTGGTATGTGATTGTAAGGAGGCCAGTTTGACAGAATTGAGGCCAGTGATCATGTTGGGGATTAGTTGAGGTTTAGGATGAATAGGTAGGGTGGATACAGTTGATGGAAGACCTGGAATGCCAGGTTGATTAGTTTTGACTTGATCCTACAGGATAATGGATGCCCCTGTAGGGGAGTGACATGCTGAAAGCAGTGCCTCAAGAAGATTAATCTAGCAGTGGTTTTCAGGAAGGATTTGCTCGTCTGTGGGTGGCAAATGATGGATGGGTGTGGAATCAGTGAAAGAGTTAACTCTCAGTTATTGCACTAATGGTTATCAGAAGCAAATCTTTAAATTCTCCCCTTAGTGATTCCTACAGGGAACAAAGCCATGCTGATTTTTCTTTTTGTTTTCTTTTTATCAGTTCATTTGCTGACATTATCATAATTTATTTTAACTTTCCCTTTTTCTAATTCAGTGTGCTGCTCAGGGACAGCTGGAAAGGAGGGAACTTTCAGTGTGTGTGCCACCCTCCAATCTTCTAGTCTTGTGGCCACCAGATATCCATGCTTAGTGGTCAGTAGAGGTCTTTTAAATAGGCTTGTGATTAATTTGTCCATTCCCTGGGGAACATGTGAGTCATTCAGTCTCTAATTGTCAAAGGCCCCTAAGTCTGGGCTTGGTGCCTTGCTTTAATCCTCAGCATGAGTATAAACTGGGTTACTTTCCATTTTGTTCAAAATAACCTCTTCCCAGTGTGACTTTATTATCTGAAATTATGCAAAGGTCTAATATCCCAGACAGATCTCTATTGAAATGGAAATATAAACATATATCAAAACATCAAATAGGGATGAGTTAGGGATTATCCATGTTTTTGTTACCCCCAATTCAATTCAGGTCAGCTCAATAGTTATTTACTAAACACTCTCACCAGGAATTTATGGACCACATAGGAATGAAGTCTTATCCCTATAACATAAACATATAAGCACACAAAAATGAACAAAGCACACAGTTAAATAGCAATATGGTATGTATTAGGTGCCAAAGTAAGTGGCACAGACTATTGTAAGAATTGACTGCAATAATTATTCATTTAAAAAGACATACCCCTCCAGTGGTATGCATGTTATGAATATTAAATCACTTTCTGTATCTTCATCTTTGAATCTCTCAAATCTAGTATAAGCACCAATGAAAACAGACAGCTAATGAACTCACTATCAAAACATTGTTTCCAAATGTGCCTTTCCTTTTTGTTTTTGATTTTGCCTTTACAATATTCTTTCCAAGTAGCTGAATTGCCCTTCCATCAAGTGAGTGCCATGTTTTCCCTTACAAGGGGATCAGTTTCTCACTGAGAAATATTGCCTGAGTACTTTTATGCAACAACCTCATTTTGGTTTGAAGAGTAGACTGTAGGGTTATGCAGAAGAGAATGTGCTCACTCCATCTGTAGATTAAGACAGAATTAGGATCTCTCATGGTGCTGCAGTTACATCTGGAGATGAAGTTTGCTTTTTGTGCCAATAAGTATGTGCCTGTGCTCACAGAAATATCTTGAGGATGCTGAGCTTTTGTTGGCAAGTTTGAGAATGGTGGAATAAATTGAAGTAACTTTCTAAAGAAAACTATGCTTCAGAATCTTTCTGACAAAGAAAGGATGTACTGGAGTAGAAAGAGGAGCTGGTTTTTGAATCATGTTAAAATGCATTGGGTTGCTTGGCCTATCCTCTCATAAGTACCCGTTGAGATTAGCTTTGTGCGTTCTGCCAGATACTGTCTGGTTATGGGCAGAGTCCTGAGGGAAGAAGATTTAGGGGATGAAGAGAATTATAAGGGAGGGGGAGAGAGAGAGAAAGAGAAAGAGAGGGAGGGAGGGAGGGAATGCGGCAGAGAGAGATATATGGATGCTTGTGCTTGAGTTTGGGCCAATGACAAAGCAATAGAGCAACATAGAATTTCTTGGTGTTTCAAGAGAATGATTATTCAAAGGACAGAATGTGTGAGGAGAGGACACGGATGACAAACAAAAAATAGCTCATCTAAACAGCTAAAATATTGCTTGATTTTTCCAAAGTCCTTTCCTACTTCTCCATGTCTGGCATAAATAATGCATTCAATCACATGAAAGGAGAATGTTCTGGAGCCAAATTAACTCTGGCTATTACATGGTTGAAATAGTTGGAGCTCTTCAAATTATCAAAACAGTATAATTCAAAAAGAATGAAATACTTTTGGAAATTTATTATTCAGTAAGTACATTGTATATGATGATATGGGCAATCCCCATACTTTTCCCAGAGCAAGACATTTTTAATGTTAACTAGGCAATTTGATGCATAATATACATTATATATAACCTAGTTACTGAGTAACACTATTTTGAAAATATTCCATTTTTGAGAAATCCCGAATCTTTGTCCCCAGTCTTTTTCTACTATTCCAAGAAAAGCCTCTTTTTGCACCCTAGATGTAAGCTCTTTTTCTTATTCCTCCAACCAAGCTCTTATATTCAAAGAAGACATAAAAAGGTGAAGATGAAGATGGAGGGAGTGGGGAAAGTGAGCCAATTCAACCTAGTCTGATTTTTCCTAGCCCCTGCTTATAGGGAAGTTCTTACTAGAAAGATCCTGGTTAATTTGTGTGGATTTCTATAAGCTCATTTCAAAAGCCACAACACAATAGTCAGTATTTTCTTATTTTGTATGAACAACTAATTATTTTAGTAATTTAGTCTGATTCAAATTAGTGCCAAAATATGACTGTGAATGAGCTTTCCCAAACTGGCCACCTATTAAAACTGGCCATCTTGGCTTACCTGAGAGCATTCCTAGCTGTGGTATCATTCCAGAATCATTCATTGGAAGTCCCAAATTAAATACTCTTAAGCCGGGAGTGGTGGCTCACGCCTGTAATCCTAGCATTCTGGGAGGATGAGATGAGAGGATTTCTTGAGTCCAGGAGTTCAAGACCAGCCTGAGCAACATAGCAAGATTCCATCTCTACCAAAAAAAAAAAAAAAAAAAAGAAGGAAAAGGAAATTAAAAAAAACCAAAAAACCATTAGCCATTCATTCATCAACAGACACTTAGGCTGTGTTCATATCTTGACTATTATGAGTAATGCTGCAATAAACACAGAAGTGCAGAAATTTTCATACATGCAGTGGAATATTATACAGTCCTTAAAAAGAAGGACATCTTGCCATTTACCACAGCATGGATGAGCCTGGAGGACATTTATGCTAAGTGAAATAAACCAGACAGAGAAAGAAAAACATCATATGATCTCACTTATATGTGCAATTAAAAAAAATAGAGAATGAAACAGTGGTTACCAGTGGGGGCAAGAGTTGGAGAGAGGAACTGGGGAGATATATATTAGAGGATATGATGTAGTAGAAATGTAGGATGAACAAGTCTAGAGATCTAATGTTTATACATGAGGACTATATGGAATAAAATTGTACTATATGTGGGATTCCTGCTAAATGAATATATTTTATCTGCTTTTGCCACCGAAACAAAGAAAAAAAAATGACTGCATGAGATGATAGATATGTTAATTTGCTTAACTATAGTCACCTTTTTACTATTTGCATGTATCTCTTAACATCATGTTGTATACCTTAAATATGCACAATAAAATTTATTTTTAAAAATAAATTAAATTCATAAATATATTCTCCTTATAAAAATAAAAATACCAAATAAATCCAAAATCACAATTGGAAAAAAAAAAACCATTTAGAGTCGCACCAGTATGGAATGAGACTTAGATGACCATATAAGAAGGCATCTGAGGGATATGCAAGGGTAGGTTATTAGTATTGAAAGGCATTGACTTGCATGAATATGGTACAACTAAGAAATTTTCCAAGTCAGCATTAAAAATGCTTGCTTTTCAGAGTTTGAAACACTGGAAAAGAGCTTTCTTTCTGCATCTTCTTGTTTTTCCTTGTCTTTATAAATCTAGTAAGGTTGCTAGGATTCATACAGAACTCCGGAGCCTCCAGGGACTCTGAGGGCAATGCTGCTTTCTATTTCTCTGCCTTCATAAGAAATCTTTTACACAAGAGCTGAATGTAATGCTTTTTATTACTTCTAAGATGATTTTTTCCAAGGGTTTAATGACACAAATGGGAGAAATAACTTTTTTTTTTCAGAGTAGCAAAGGTAACGGGCTATTTCCTATATAACTGTCTCAACAAGACTCAAAATGAAAGCAAAGTTCTGATTTAACCCCAGAAGGAAGAAGTAACTCTCACCTCTTGTTCATCAGATTTCATCAGCTGTAATTCTACCTTTCTTAGTTCACAGTCAAAGCAGCGTTTGTTAAGGAAGTGTAGTAGGTGTTCCTTTTGTGGCCACGGAGCAAATGTTAGTCTCTGTTATGAAGAGAGTTTCAGTGATCCCAGAATTTTAAAGCAATAAGTTTATCTCAGGATCTCCAGGAAAACTTTTATTTATTTATCAAGGAAACTCTATAGTAAAGGTTATGAAAATTCATAAAAGCAGTATGTATAATACTTTGCCTGCCATGGTGAATAATCTATCACAAATTCTCACTTGGTCGAATAATATTGAATTAGGTTTGCTGCTAATGGGAATATTTTTTGAAGAATTGCAAGAGCTAGAAGAGTATAAAATACCTTTATTATTCATTATCCTTTGTAGAGCTCAATAGGACAATGATTTCAGTCTTTAGTTTTAATGTATCAAGGTATGCTGGTGTGATGTTGTGCTAAATAATAGATATTTAATAGCTCAGTGACCTGGAAGTGTCAATGCAGTTTAAGTTTAGCTCTTCTCAATCTTATAGTTGAGGTTGGTAAAGCTCATCTTTGGAGGTCTCTTATACTTTCTTTCAATGCTTCCCTTCCCACTGTGATATCTTTATATTTAAAGTGTGATTAATATGCATGCAATATTTTAAAAATAAATTTCAAGTGCACAGCTTGATGAATTTTGGTAATTGTATACAATTGTGTAAACACCACTACAATCAGTATATAGAATGGCTCTGTTACCATGCAGTTTCCTCAACTCATGTCCCCTTTAACTTGATCCCCTCTTTCCATTTGTGGCCTCAGATAGCCACTTATCTCTTGTGTGTCACTATAGTTTTGCCTTTTCTAGAATGTTATATAAATGGAATCACATTATATGTAGTATTTTATGTTTGACTTCTTCTACTTAGAACCAGGTTTCACAACCTTGACACTATTCACATTTGGGCTACATAATTCATTGTTGTGAGGAAATGTTTTATGTTTATTAAGCAGCATTTTGAAGCTCTACAGATTGGATGCCAGTAACATCTCCCAGTTGTGACAACCAAAACTGTCTCCAGCTATTGCCAAATATTCCATGGTTGGGGGGGGAGTCATTTCTGATTGAGAACTACAGACTTGGCATATTTTTGAAATTTATTCACATTGTTGCATGTACCAATAGGTAACTCTTTTTTATTGCTGACTAGAATTCCAATTATGAATATACCACATTTTGTTTATTCATATATGGACAAAACATTTGGGCTATTTCCAGTTTGGGAATAGTGCAGATAATGTTGCTATGAACATTTACATATACATGTTTGTGTGGCTATATGTTTCCCTATCTCCTGGGTAAATACCCAGGAGTGGAATTGCTAGGTCTTACAAAGACTCTATGCTTACCCTTTTGGGGAACTGCCAAACTATTTTCCAAACTGGATACACTATTTTACGTTCTCATCAGCAACACTCCATATCCTCACCAACACTTGTTCATCAGTTTGGTTTGAGCAATTCTTGTATTATATTGTGGCTTTGATTTGCATTTCCCTAATGGCTAATAATGCTGAGCATTTTTTCATGTGCTTATTGGCTGTTTGTGTATCTTCTTTGTCCTTACATATTCTTGATACAAGAGTCCTTTGTCAGATATGTGTTTTGAAAACATTTACTTCCAGGCTATGGCTTATCTTTTGCTTTCTTAATTATGTCTTCCACATAGCAAACATTATAAATCTTCATGGAGTCTATTTCATCATTTTCCTTTAAACTTTGAGTTTTTGGTGCTCTATTAAAAAAGTTTTTTCCTAACTCAATGTCATAAAAATTTTCTCTTGTGTTTTCTTCTAGGAGTTTAATGGTTTTAGTTCATAGATTTAGATATATGATCTATTTTGAGTTAATCTTTGTGTATGGTATACAATAAGAGTCAGGTTTATTTTTTCTATGTAGCCATATAGTTACTCAAGCATCATTTGTTGAAAAGATTATCCTTCTTCAAGAAATTACCTTGGCACATTTGTCAAATATCAGCTCACTATATAATTATGGAAATTATATGCATTTGGAAAAAGATGTGTATTCTGTCATTGTTGTGTGTGTCCTATAAAAATCAATTAAATTGAAGTGATCTATAGTCTTGTTCAGATCTAAATTTTTGCTGATTTTTTTCCTAATTGTTCTATCAATTTCTGAGAGAAGGGTGTTAAAATTTCCAGTACAGTTGAGGAATTGCCTATTTTTCCCTTTAATTTTGTCAGTTTTGCTTTATGCATTGTGAAGCTTTGTTATTGGGTGAATACATGCTTATTATTATGTCCCACTGAATGGACTCTATTATTTTTATGGTAATATTATAATCTTTGGTAATACATTTTGTTGTAAAATGTTTTTTTTTTTTTTATTGGATGTTAGCATGAGTACTTTAGGCTTCTTATGTTCACTGTTTGCATGGATCTACTTCCAAGCTTACTCACATGCCTATTAGCTGAGGCTCCAGTTACTCACCATGTGGTCTGCTGCCTAGGGCTGCTAGAGTGAATGATCCAGGAGACAAAGAGTATGAGTGACCAAGATAGATTTTACAACCTAATCTCAGAAGTGACATAACCATCATTTCGGCTATATTCTCTTAGTTCTCCAGAGAAACCCTAGTATAATTTGGGACTATTGAGTGTGAATACTTGGAGATGGGGGTCACTGGGCCTGCCTTAGAGGCTGGATCCTACAATGGTCTTAAAATAATCACCCAGAAAATGAAGTTTGTACTTAGAGGTCTTGATTTAAAGAATAATTTCTTTTCTGCCTAGCGTACTCAAGGAGCCCAGAGTTGTCACACTCAATTACTTCTCAGAAGATATTTAATGAACATGTACTTAAAAAATTTACACTCTGACATCCTCAGCATTATGCCAGATCCTATTGTTAAGAGAAAAGAGTATAAGAAATATAACATTTAGCAGAGTTTTAGATTTCAAATAAACATTCAGTTGAGACAATACTATTAATAATATAACATTTCTCTAATTACTATTAATCCAATGCAGGCCCTCATCTTAGTTCTCATGGCAGTAACATCTGAACTGATTTATTTCTTTTGTTTCCCAGTCACCTGAGAACTTCAAGTCAACTGATTTCTTTGGATCCAGACACTACCCCCCAGACACTACTACTATATTTTGCTGCCAGATATATTTTTTCATAGGTCTGATTATATAACTCTCTTATATAAAATATTTAATGTTTCTCTAATTGCCTATAGAAAAAAACTAATATCCTTAGAAAGTTATCTAAGATCCTTTAAAATTTGACCCTTATCTCTGTTTTTAGCTACATTACATTATTCACCATCCACTGCACAATGCACTAAAAGCACATTAGTGTTTTCTGGAGAATCTCAATTCCATTAGCTCTAGGAAAAAAATTGCCATGGTCATATAAGTTTGGATAGTATTGCATACTATATTCCCTTTTTAGAAATGTATGAAATGTATTAGTATTTTAAAGCTTCGAAAAAATCCTGCAGTGAAGACATCTATTTAATATTAATCAATTTTTCCCAATTTATTTGATCACGAAACCAATATTTGAATAACACCTCCTAGGAGCCTGCACAAAGCTCTCTCAGAGAACACATTTTGGGAAATGCTGCTATGTTACATTGGACTATATGCAGTTTCCTGAATA